CGCACATTCCTGGCCGACTAAACCGCATTCCGCAAGAACACGGTCCGCAAACCGTCAGCAAGTTATTCAAACGGAAATGGCGATAAATCTTTGTGTCTTTCTTTCAGCGGCAAATTCGAACGTGATCGTCGTCGACCAGTTGGTCCATACTTACTCACTCACTCACTGCCCGGTACTTACTTCTGACTGACCTTCATTGTCCAGTTGTGAACGACTAGCGAAATGGTAACCGTCTCACATAGCACCGAGGACCTGTTGCAGCATTTGACGCCGGATGAGGTCGAAGAGTTCCGCGAGGCGTTCGTCATGTTCGACAAAGATGGCAACGGCACGATCTCGACCAAGGAACTGGGTGTTGCCATGCGTTCACTGGGCCAAAATCCGACAGAACAGGTAAACATTGATTGCTGTTGCGCCGCATAGCGTGGCGCCAGTTTCAGCGCGCTGACCGTCGTTGACCGGCACTTGTGATAAAGGAGCTGATCGAGATGATCAACGAAGTGGACATCGACGGCAACGGCCAGATAGAATTTCCCGAGTTCTGTGTCATGATGAAACGGATGATCAAGGAAACAGATTCAGAGATGATACGTGAAGCGTTCCGAGTTTTCGACAAAGACGGCAACGGAGTGATAACCGCTCAAGTATGAAAACTGTCTCTGTCTCGCTGTAGCTCTCGCTCTGTTGCCACACCCACACATTTTCTCTAAGCTCCGTGGCTAACTTTCAGTTTTTCTAAGCCACTGGCGAATTTACTTTAAACTACACTTTGCGGCTGCCTTCTTTAAACAGAGGTTCGCGAGTTCAAACAGTGTCTGTCTTGTCAGGAAAACTGGCAGCCTAAGAAGTGACCGCATGTCATCAAGATATTCGCATGAACCGAGTTGCAGGTAAAAAAATAAGTTAGCAACGTAGACAACACGTAGTGATACAGCTCGTGGACTTTCCTTGAGAAACAACGTCCGCCTTGAACCGACGTTCCCACGCTGCCGCCGGCTGTGAACCACTGCTTGCAGCATTGAACCATTGGTCGCGGTCCGTTTATCCGCTCCAATTATGTCACCGGATTTCGGATGAATCATTCGTAGGCGGTCGGAATGCATGAATCTGACAGCAATAAACACCTACTTCACTTATTTCTAACGTCTGGCTATGCGGTGCAATAAATTTGTCGGCAACTCGTTTTTGAGTAGTGCCATGAATTCATTTCTCAGGCCACTAAAGTTTTTTAATCATAACTTAATTGTTCGCCTTTCGGCCAATGCGTCACTCGCTACCAAATGAATAACGACGTCTCTTTTCATTGTTAACATTCATAAATGACAACAGATGAAACGTACGCAGTCGCAGTAGTGTTTGTTTCTCTAAAGAGGTGACTCTAAACGTAGATCTTCAGGTTTTCATTCATCTGGAATTTGCGTAACTTCTCGCTAACAACTACAGGCAAAATGCTTAGCCCGTATCTCACATAAAAGAGACGATAAAAATTTCTTGTGATTTTGCTCAAGCACTGCACTTGAATGAACTTTATTGAACAATTATGCTTTGGGTATAACTCAATAGATGCTACCTTAGCACAGCATCTTGTGAAATGGGGAATCGCGTACTAAAACATTGCCTCTGCCTATGCGCTGGCAGATCTCAAGCTAAGTTCGCTACTCCGTCCTTTCGCAAAACTTGTCGTATGATTTACGCATTTTTCCTGGTTATAATGGAAATTAAGTTCTGAGAAATCGGACTGAGTCAAAACTTCCACTGGACATATTTAAGACGTTTATCTTTCATAAGAGATTAGAAACCAGCCATCCTAGGCACATTTAACAAGACTGATGTTGGTTGAGGTAGGTTCACTGTTTGAACGTGTTTGGTGAGTGTGTGTTTGAAAGTTCATTCAGGGTGTCAACTGTCATGAACTATTACCGACGCCCAAACTTTCATTCAGCTCAATAGATGCACTGAAATGAAGCACTTTTTGAAGTTTTGAACGCGAAAAGATATCAATGACAAGTGATCGGAGACACCACCGCCTCAACCTACTTGAGGTATGCAAAGGAAGTTACATTCTAAAAATGAATTCAGTTAGAATTAGCCAACCCCTAAATTACCTCGTCGCACTGGCGAATTTTCATATTTCCGGTAGATTCGCAGTTCAAAGAACCATCGACGTTGAGAAATGTTAAGTATCGTTTAATACAGCGTGTCTGAATCGTATATCCGTGTACGAGTTGTTGTATCTAAATTGTATGTTCTTGTGATCTAACTGTACTGATGGTACTGATTCTACTAATTGTACTGAAGTTCCAACGGATAGGAATGACAAATTTCAGTCTCCATTCACATAGATGATTAGATTACGTTTAATTTTGAAAAATATTTTATGCTGGATTTTTCATCATCATCATCATCATCATCATCATCATCGTCCATCGCCGCTTCTCCTTTCGGGTCGCTGAGGCAGACGCGTCAGACAGTGCTTCCAACGTTCCCGATCC